AAATAATATTGATTTTTCTCAGTTTTAACTTTAAATTTTGAGTTTTATGTTATCCCAAAAAGTATTCAGAGACTTTTAGTGACCCTCTGTATATAAATAAAATAAACAAGACTATTTGTTCTATCACAATAGAAATATTGTATACCATTTTAAAGTTTATTTATATTATTTATTATTAATAAATAAAACTTTATTAAAAATAATTAAAATCAATATTAATATTAATTATAAATCTGAATTAATAGTTAAATAAACTATTTGTATTACTATAAATAAATTATAAATAAACTTTAATTTTATTTATTAATTTTCATTCTTTTCTTTTAATTTAAAATAAAAATTCTTTAAATTTTAATTACTTAAAATAATATAAAATACAAATGCAATCAATATTTATATACTTAATATAGAACAATAATGACAAATTTTTCTTAATTTATTTGAAGCCGATCTGTCTTTACCTAATATTTTAATCTTGAATAACGTTACTAATTATTTGCAATACTAGTTACTATTAATTCTTTATTTACAGTATCACTTTTAAATACACATAGTACTATATAAAGAATTACTAACGAGTAGATTTATTTAATTTATATTAAAAAATATTTTATTAAATTACTTAATTAACATGGCAAGGTTATATTAAAGTTTCAAAAAGGATCTGCAATGAATTTAATAAAAATTCAGAAATATGAAGAGTATAAGTGATAAAATAAGAATGATTTTCAGTGGTATGAGTTTTTAAGACTTGATAAAAAGCAATATTTAAACTTTAGGATAAATAATATTTGCGAAATACAGTATAATAATTTATTTTATTAATAAATAATCATTGTTATCATTACATTATAGAATGATCTTCAAAATTATGCAACTTCAAGATTTTCATGTGGTAATTCTATTTCTCGTCAGCAAAAAGAAAAGTAGAGGAAGTTATTAAAGATGTAAATATATAAAAAAGAATAAATATATAAAATCTATTGTATTTATTATTCTATTATTAATTTAGTTTAGAAAAGCAAATTCAACATTTTAATTTCTGAAGCTAATTTTATTTTTCATAAGTAACTTACTTCATATTATAATAGTATAGATAATAAATAGTTTATGTTTAATATAAACTAATATTTTTTTACAAACTATTAAATTTCATATTATCTTTTATAGTAGATCAAGTTAAAAAAAATTAATGAAGTAAAATCATATGGTTTTCTACTATCACTACTAAAAAAAAATATATATTCTCTTAAGAGACGCAGTATAACTAACGAGATAAATAAACTACAAGATTTAGAAAGTACTGAAGATACTGATAAACAAAATTTAGAAAGTACTGAAGTGACTAATAAATTGGAAGTACTTCAAGTATTCAACTTTATTAATTTATCCTTTTAATTTGAGTTATCAATCAAAATTTAATATTATATTATTTTTTTTTGAAGCAATTTCACCATCTGTTACTTTCAAAATTGTAATTACATCTACTACTAAAATTATTGTTTCAGATATAGCTTATACTATTGATGAATCTTCTAACACTTCTTAAGGTAGTGAGAATATATAAAATGATTTATTTCTATACTAATAATAATTTTTTTTTGATAGAAAGAAGAAAAGGCAGAGTTAAAGGTAGAAGTAAAAGAAGAGGAAAACAAATACCAGAGAAAACTCGCAAAATAAGATTTAGTAAAAGAATTAAGAGTGTTAAAAGCAAAATGGCAGTTGGAACTACTATATCTCAAGAATAAAATGGTCAATCTTATTTCAAAGTTATATATCACATAATATTTATAGTTTCATATTATTCATTTTATTTAGCAAAATTATCAATCTTTTAATTAATAATATATCACAAAATTATTTAGTAAAAAATTAATATTTTAATTAATAATATATCCATTTTATTTGGCAAAATTAATTAATTTATTTAATGAAATTATTAGTAAAATATTAGTTTTTAAATAATAAAATTATCATTTTATTTAGCAAAATTATTCTGTAAACTTTTAATGTTTAATTGATAATTTATCTAGTTTATTAATTAAGATTATTATAAAATTAATAGTGAAAGATCTGTGATTTATTAAAAACTGAGTAATAAACTCTGTGAATATGAGCTCATTATAAAAGAAATATGGAGTCCAATATATATTAATTAAATGGAAAAAAATGGAATTTAAAAATGGAGAAATAATAGAATAATTCAGATAGATTTATTTACAGGGAGTTTGATTCAAGGATTTTGTTATGATAAACTTGTTTGCAATCATTATAATTAAAGGTTAACCGAATATATAATTAAGAAATAAATTACAATATTATATATTTTTCTTTGCCAATATAAATTATAATTAAAGAAAAGAATAAAAAAAGAAAAAAAAGAAAAATAAATTTTGTTTACCATAATAACCTTATTCACAAGTTTAAATATATAGTAAATCTGTTATTTATACATTTTTTTAAAATATTTACATATACTTACAAATACAAAAATTAGAATTAGCAAAAATAATCTTTATAATAAGTTTACATAATGAGTGGCGATATTTAAATTTAAACATTTATGTTATCAAAATCTTTTAATAAATTTGCAAACTGAAATAAATAAATGCCTGATTTTAATGGCTAGAAAAAGTGATATCAAATAAATTATGGTTAAGTCGAGCTTACTAATTCTTTCAAAAATCTTACTTGCACAATATAAAAGATTTTGCATATATAGCTATTGTATAAATCTATATTAACATTTTTGATATAATATTGCTTTATTTGATTAATTTCCTTTTTGATATAGTTTTCTAGAATAAAAGAAAAAGCTGTTGTAAAAGTTTTATAGAAAGAAGCAACAATAGAGGTCTTTCCCTTAATATAAATTCGGTTTAGAGATGTGCTTTGAATCTGATCAATCTGGATATCCAGTCATCCATCCAAAATTTGACCAGATTCAGATTGATCTGTTTATATCACCAGATTGACCAGATGGATCATTGGATATCCGGTGAACAAATTGGATGGTCAATTCGACTTAGGTAAGCATAAATATTTTTTTTATTTTTATTTTTTTTTTTTTTACAATAATGATAAATCTACGTATTACATTACTCAATACACACACAACACACACATACACATATACACATACACTATCTCTCTCTCTCTCTCTCTCTCTCTCCTCTCTCTCTCCACTCTCTCCCTCTCTCCATCTCTCCTCCTGGACCTTATACTCCAAATTACGACTTGAACTAAAGATGATCACTGCAATTGAAAAAAATGGCGCAATTGAGTTGCAACTTGTGGCGCAATTAAATTTCTTTATAGCGCAATTAAGTTGCAACTCAATTAAAATTTGAAAATAATTATGGGGACCATCTTTAACTTGAACAGCTTGAATTCAAACGGTAAGTGCAAAATTCTTCCTTTTTTTGTCTTAGAAACGTTACTAACTTTCATTTTACTTCTTTTCTTTAGAGAACGCTTTCTTGGACCTGGATTTTGACTAGGCTATAAAGGTAAGTTAGTGTTTTTGTTTTTCTGTTATTGGAATGTCATTAACATTCCTTTTACTTCTTTTCTTTAAAAGACGCCTTTCTGAACTAGATTTCTGCTTGGGCTATGAAGGTAAGGTTGTGTGGGAGATTGTTCTTGATTTTCTTTGTCTTTAGAATGCTATTAACGTTCCTTTTACTTCTTTCTTTAGGGGACACCTTCTTGGATCTGAATTTTAATTTAGGCTATAAAGGTAAGGTGGTGTGGAAGATTCTTTTTTATCTTTAGAACGGCATTAATGTTCCTTTTGCTATTTTTCTTTAAGAGACGTCTTCCTGGACCTGGATTTCGGCTTGGACTATAAAGGTAAGTGGTGTGAGGAATTGTTTTTGTTTCTTCTTTGTTTTTGGAATGCCATTAATGTTTTTTTTGCTACTTTTCTTGTGGGATTTTTTGTTTTTCTTTGTCTTGGAATGCTATTAATATTCCTTTTGCTTTTTTTCTTTAGGGGATGCCTTCCTGGACCTGGATTTCAGCTTGGGTTATAAAGGTAGATAGTGTGGGGAATTGTTTTGTTTCTTCTTTGTTTTTAGAATGCCATTATCATTTCTTTTGCTTCTTTTCTTTAGAGGACGCCTTCCTGGACTGTGATTTCAACTTGAATTATAAAAGGAAAATAAATTTCACTTTTTTTTGATTCAAGAATGATACTATAAATATTTCTTTGATTTTGGCGTAAAATTTACATACACTTTAAATGGCTAATTAAAAAAGGATAGATCCACTTTTGTAAAACAATTAAGATATTCTATAAAATTTCTATATAAAGCTTTTGTTTTATCTATCTTTAAAAAAGATTGG